CTGAAACTCGGCTTTGATGAGGAAGATGACATCAAAACTGTCCTGTGCGGTGGACACTTCGGTACAGTGTCGTCGGCAACGTCTACATATGGATGCGGTAAGGAGATGGTCGAAATGGAATGCATTCACATCGTTTAGGATGGTGTGGCCTCATTTGCTAATAGTTTGCACGTGCAACACAAGGGGACAAGACAGTTTCCAAATACGTGCGCCGTTCCCAGCATCGCCTGTACGAAGAATGTGCTCTTCACTTGCACTACAGAGGCTTGTAGCAGGCAGTAGAAAGCAAAATGAGAGTTAAGGGAGGGTCAATTTTGCTTTCTGGCGTCAGTAGTTTGACGTCGTGAGTCTTCTAATCAGCAATTGGAAGACGGCAGGTAGGAATGAGCGCTTGTATTCAGGGAGGAGGGAAGAGGATGGGCTAATACTTAGTCCGAATTCCCAACTGAGTAGCAGAAGGCAAAATTAATTCCAAAGTGGCTTTCAGCCCCTAGAAGGGTTAAATGATTGGTGTACTATGTCCATGTATGGATTTGTTGATGAACAAATTGCATTTGGAAAGCAACTTTTGTCATCTAATCCATACACCTAAGATAGAAGAGTTTGCTTCTTTCGACTGTATTAAAGGTTACATTTATGACTATTGAGAATTCTAAGAACATTTTGAAAGCTCATGTAAATTTTTACTCTTTCAAAATAATTTATCTAACCTTGAAATTTACCTTTGCACGATTTCTATTGGCTATGACGGCGGGGCTTGACGCCCGCGTGCATTGGTCCTGTCTAAAATTCTTTATTAACTTTGGTGGGATTTCGAGCGAGTTAGATCTTCAACAGTCCAAAAAACCGAACAATGGCCAACGTTGCTATACCCACTGTTAGCTTCCCGGTCTCGCAGAATTACTACAACCCTTCTTACCCTCTATCGAAATACGGGTACAGAACAAGAAGACTTTCGAATTATTCCAAAGCCACTCTAAATCGAAATTGTGAAATTTCTTCTAAGTCTTGGAGTAATGACGCCCTGATAAATTCTCATTATGGCAACATTTTAACTGATACTCAAAATAAAGTATGTGTTCTGGTAGAATTTTCACCTTTATCCCACAATAGATCGGATCCAACTGGCGAAATGTGTTGCGTACTTCGAGACGCTTTTCCCACTATGTTGATGCTGCACCCTCTTTGCATCAAAGTAACTACGCGACTTTATCCAAATACAATTCTAAATGTCCCAATGGAAGCACTTTCAGCAAAAGAACAGGTTCTCAGATCGAGATGGAACCCTCGTCGTACCTTTCCCACTCAAAGGATTTAAGTTACGAGCATTTGCACGCACCATATTATGGACATTCTAAAAATCTACCTTTATCTATAAGTGTATTTAACCTACACAAATACTCACCACAACTTGAGTCTTCAAATTATTCGGACGGCTCGTATCAATTGCTTCATTCAAAACGTTTTCGGAATACCTCTGAGGACCCATCAGTTATAAAAGATCACCTAAAAGATATCGGTAATTCTGCGATCCGAGATTCTTTTTTCGACTTCGCCTACCGTGAGCCTCGAACACATACAAAAAGCTCTTTTGACAACTTGTTGAATGATGATACATTCCGAAAGAACGCCGTCATAGAGAACCGATATCAAATACTCCAAGAGATAGGCAGAGGTAGCTTTGGCAAAGTTTACAAAGCAACGGACCTGCAAACAGGAAAACTTTGTGCCTTGAAGTGTATAAAGGATATATCCAACTTTAAAAAGCTTGCAGATGAGGAAATCGCAATTCTGCTGACCCTGTCAAAACAGGATAAAAATGACGAGCACAATTTCCTTCATTTGAACGATCATTTTTTCACAGCAGGTTGCACGTTTATGGTTTTTGACTTGTTGAGCATAAATTTGTTCCAGTTAATACATCGAAATAACTATCAAGGGTTTGCACCACGATTGGTTCGAAAGTTTGTCCGCTGTGTCCTCAATTGCCTTAAGTTCATACATAGGTGAGTTTGAATATTTAGCTTTTAAAACTACTGTTGCAAAACTGGCGTAAAAATTGTTACACATTATTTTACTTGAGTAAATTTAATGAGAAAATACATTTTCGATCCAAGGATGGTCGGTCTCGCAACTGTTTCTTATATTTGGCCTATAGGAACAAAGTTATCCATTGTGATTTAAAGCCTGAAAACATTCTTTTGGAGCGCTGCGGTTATACCAACGTAAAAGTGATTGATTTTGGTTCAAGTTGTTACATTGGACAAAATGCTTACGCCTACATACAGTCAAGATTTTACAGGGCACCGGAAGTTATCTTTGGTAATGAGTATGGAGCACCAATCGACATATGGAGTCTTGGCTGCATAGCTGCGGAACTTTTGACAGGTAAGTACTCAGTCGATATGGCGCGTTGAGTGTCTGATTGCAAGCCAGGAGTCCCATCGTAAATAAAGACTATCATGAATGTAATCACGCAAATACGAGTGTATCCATACAGCCAGACATCGCAATTGGCAGTGGTAGATTATGTTACGAATTTCGGTAGATCTACACTTCGTTCACATTTATAGGTTCCCCACTCTTTCCCGGAGAGAATGAACAGGACCAAATAGCCTGCATAATGGAGGTGCTCGGTCTTCCACCAGCTAGTGTGATGCGCAAGATACGAAGACAGCATCACTTTTTCACCGCTGATGGTGCACCGCGATATCTTGCTGAAAGAGGAAAGCAGTTAGAAAATCAGGTATTTTTATGAGAAAATGATAAGTAAGACAAAAAGCGGTAAAACACCAAAATACTTTAATTTGTCCCCTTCAAATAGCGTACTTGGGCAGAAAACAGATTATCAATACAGTGCGTATTTTCAGATTAGAATATGTTCTCTTTGAAGACTCTCGATAGTCAATTTGAGGAAAAGTGTGTTTATGAACACTAAAAGTTAATCAATTACGCGCATTTATTAAGAAGTTTGCTTCTGCCCTAAGGCTCCCATAAATGGGTCTGAGGTATCACAGCGTAGACCAAGAATGAAAACTTTTACCCACACTTTAAGAATTGAAAACCATTTAGAAGAGTTGTGTGTCGTGCTTGTTAGCAATAAAATCTCTGGTGTTTCTCCATGGTGTAAATTTTCGATCACCGCCATCGCTTTGTAGCGCAGCGGCGAAGCAACTTTAGATCCCAAAATCCTTCCCCTCATCACTTAAATTATCCTTGGTTTTCGTAAAAAACGTAAGCTAAATTGTTGGCTTCGCAACTTTAAATAAGGTTTTAGGATCACCCATTATTTATATGAACTCCATCTGTATGAATACAGGCTACTTCCATCAGATGTAAGCTTCTATTCCGATTTCACGTATTCTAAACTCATTAGTGTAGTTTGCATCAGGGGAAAAATACGTTTTACGACAAGCGGAAGTAAACAGAAATTGCAAACGATAGAAAGCCGTTTAGAAAAGTTGGGAATGGCTCACTGTTGTACCGTGTCTCGTTCAATTTGATTGAAGACAATTTGACAAGTTTGGATCGTCGTACTTTTAAAGTGTATCCATCTGTTGTCTCTAATCATGCATTGAAACATGCTTTAGATTGTAGCACTTAATAGGATAACCGTTATAAGCTGAAGCAGGCATGAGACCAGAAGTGTATTGTTGAATTCCTGCTGCAGATGATGAGACTGTCGTGGCATAAGCAGCATAAAATGCTCTTTGCACCGCGCAGCCTCGTCTTAAAGTCCACATTTGGATTACGCACTTGAATGACTTACTTATTCCATCACAATACATTCTTAGACGGAATATTTTGTCCACTGTTGGTGCGAGCTACTTGTTACCGTCCACAAAGACGTCCTGCTGATAACTAAGCACTTCACCAATAAAAGTACAAGTATTTGGGGTGCATCAGACCGTTTCGGTCCTCAAACATTTTAGCTTATATTAGCTACTGCTATGGCACCTCGCCTATGGTGCAGGAGTTCAGTTCCATGACTTACTCATTAAACTTGCTTATAGGCATTCAACATTCGTCCCGATTCACGGCTCTAATTGCGTTACGGATGTTTAGTGTTTCCTAAGCGGTTATAAGACTCACTACACACGTCTACCTTCGTTAAATGTTTGCCACTACCACATCAATGTCATGAAGCATTACCCTTTATTACCCATATGGGAGGATGATTTTGCCTTTATTTGGGGAACCAGGATAATCATCACCCAAAACGAATGAAACGAGCGGACCCAGGTGCTCTCACTTTGGCGATCCTCATGAAGAACTCTCTTGGTGAAGAAGGTTCTGATCCAAAGCTGCTGGACTTCCTGTCCCAGTGTCTGCGTTGGGATCCGATGGAACGAATGACTGCATGCGAGGCGCTCCGACATCCGTGGATCCTTGAAGTAGAAGTCTCTAACCTTGACGACGGTGCAGCCTCCCCCAAAGAGAGATCTGACCCCTCAACCGAAGAGTAATAAGCTCAGTAAGGACGTTTAGAATCCTGCTTGGCCATTATTTGTCGTATACGTTAGTTGTAAACATTCACAATTGCTACTGGAAGTAAAAAATAGTCCTTAAACATAGGTCACAATCTTCTCATTGAATTTCAATCGAAATGTTTTCTGGCATAGTTTTCAGCAACGGAATCAGATATGTAATTACTTTGCATATTTCAAATTAATGAAACGAGTTTGAAGTAATGAGCCTTATATAAATGTTTTATCTCTCACTTTTAAGGCTAAGGTTAATATGAGCGTCCTTTTTATCTACAGGTGCTCGTGCTCCGTCCTCTGGAGACTCAGTCTCAAAGCCGCATAACCCAACCAACTGGCAATGTCATTTAACCCTAGTCGTCTGATTTTGCAGTTCGCAGCTACTTTTTGTATTAGAGGAACATTGTTGAAAGTGGTTGTGGCAATGTGGCCCACAGATCTCATCCTTGAGAGTATTCCCTAATAAATCTTGATCTGGAGGTCGATTTTTTTGCTTTGTATTATGAAATAAGGCTGTGTGAAACGCTTGCGATGGGCATTGTAACTGCCATTCAGTTGGCAAATTGTGCAACTATTAGGATTTTTCCGTAGAGAAGGTAATTACAGCCTCGAACCTGTAGCCGCTAATTCCATTAGGCTTATAGAGTCTTCAGTGCTAATAAATTAGCTATACAATGGCGTTTCCAGGGTAAAACCATCAGTAAAGGCTAAACATTTGTGACTTGAGAATTTCCAAAGGTCGTAGCATTTTAGTAGAGGTCCCTCTTTCTCTCATTCCTAGCACACTACCTGACAAGTTAATTTGGTGATCTGCGTTGGTATTCAGGCTCGGAATTAGGGCCTAGCCCTCCATCTGCGTAGGTACAGAATCCTTTCTGTGCACGATTCCACACTGCACTGACCGGCCCTTGTGCTCCACGTCAATTATGACGCACAAATAGTTTGGGATACTTTTTAAAATATGTGAGGCGGCACTCCTTCCATTCCACATTAAACATGCATCCACTTTTACATCAGTGCATGTTTAATAAATTTGCGATTCGTTTTGCCTTGAAAGTGCGCCTCTTATTTTGGTGGAAATAGGCAAAACAGTCGCAATGCCCAGTTGTTGGTTGGACTCATGATTTTGGAGATGGAGCGTCGAAGGGCTTCTTTAGACGTCTACAGCACACATTCCGCCTGCGTATCAGAACTTTGAACAAAAACTTATTCAAGCAGCAATTTTTGTACAGTCCTCTTTCTTACAAAGTAATCTTCATAAAGAAATAAAATCTTAGATGTTGTGCTTTTTAGTTTTACAGTCATTTTTCCTTTTGTGCTCAAAGCATGAATTTTCAGGTTTAAAAGTCTAATTAACTTTTCCTACTGCATCGAGACGTCAATGCTTAAGTTGTTCTGAAAAATGAGTATCCTGATTTATCAAAAATAGAACTCAAATTTTCTCTACTTTCAAAGCGCATTAAAAGTGTCAAGTACATATTCCTGCTAATGCTAATGCTGTGACAAGGAGGAGGGACAGTCTTCTAAGCGAAAAGGCGGCTACAATGCTGTTGGGTGGGAACATTTGCAACAGTCCAAGGTATTCAGCATTTGAAGCAAGCAATTATCCTCTTAGCAAATATTACACGATGCTTTGAAAGAAACTCATAAACTAGATCCTTGTGGCTTCATGTGGTGGCAAACTGTAAGGGCGGTTCAAACTCCTAAGAAAAAGATTATTTGCTAAATGGTTGATTCGGAGACATTTGCTGTTACCGTGAGATGTTGTGCCGCAGTGATTTCGTCATCAGCACTCGGCGTGTAGGTCGCATTAGACGTTGGATACACGATGGGAAAAAAAGCTTGTGAAATCCACTCATTAGAGGTGGCACAGTTCTGCCTTTTATGCAGAGGTCCCTTTTCGATATGACATTATGAATTTTTTAAGAAAATGTTGTAAATTCTTTTAGATCATAAGCCAGCCGACCCATAATAACTCCTACACCAGAGTTATTTTTCATCTTAAAAATGTGGTTAAGCAGCTAGATTTTTACGTATTGAGCTCGTTTAATTTTTCCACAACGCTTACGAAGATAAGCGCACCAAGTTGCAGGAATTTTTCGACACTTATCCAATTGACTGCATCTCATTTTATCACAGAATTTGAAAATGCAACTTCATGCCATTGTCTCTCTCGATTTCTCCGCAGATGAATTCATACTTTTGCATTGCGTTCCATTGCAATGCCCACACAGCTTACCTCACCGTGCCCATTCGTCCTGAGGGTTTTGCTGGTTTTTTTTGCTTTGGCTCCGAAATTCTTTCCGTTCCATTTGGGGTCCAGGTTTCCACCAACTCCGCCAAGTTTGTGTTTTATCCTACCATTAGTAGTGCAGGCTATATTTGGGCTTCGATGCCAAGAACTCAGTCTTTTGAGGAATAGAGCTGCATTACTGGCCCGTAAAGGAGGCAACCAAAGTTCTTCATTCCTTTATTTTTGTGAACTCACTTCTGCACTACGCATGCAATCCATTGTGATGATCTAAGGTGCAATGAAGGGCATCTTGAATTCCCCAAAGACATGAATACATGATGCTTGAGTGCACATTATTTTTTAATGCAGAAGGGTTCCAGACTATTGGTATGGACTAGCATACAGTCCACTGCTCTTCAGTGCTACAGAATTAAATCAACGAGTCAAGAAGTGCCCAGCGAATTGGATACCTCCTCTCTCCCTTTGGACATTATTCTCAGAGCGCTCCTTACGTTAGCATTTCGTGTCGGCCATCACAAAGCAACCCACGAAACATTCCCACCATATGCCAAACATCTGCGCAAGTGAGGTGGTATTTAACGTCAACGTCAATCAGTTTTTCGGTAATTTCTTTCAAAGCTGAAATTTCGTCCTGTATGGAAACTGTAGTAAATGGCGCGAACGAATGGAGTGGAAATTTGGGATTATTATCGTTACCCACAAGAACACCTTCGAGAGAGCGGAGTCATTCAACAAAGGATGGGATTCAGCATAGTGCTAAGGGAGTAGCCAAAGGGTTCAAATCCTCTGTCTCGCTGTTATACCAATTCATTACTGCTCAGTCACACCCTTTTTGGTCAGATGTATCCAGTTGGAAAGCAAAGGTACTTTGTACAGCTTTATTAAGAAACCGTTCCTAACGGTTCAAAAGTGGCACCTCAACAGTCACTTACAGCATCCCAGCGGATCGTCGAACTTAAGCGTCTGTCGTAAGATGGGATTAATTTCATACACTTTGATCGTTACCGGTCCTCCAACCGGCAGCATATGCATTTTGGTACTGTTTAAATGTGTATCTTTTAACAGAAGGGCTGAAGCTTGGATTGCATTGCCAGACATTTGGCTCCCCAATACTTCCTTTCTAGCAAAAGGAAACATACAACCCAAGTAGAATAAGCACTGTTGACACGCAGGAGACACTCTAGTTTACTGGATTGGCTCGAACGCCAGCAACATCAATCTGATTTTCCGCAAAATTCATTGCTCCCTATTAATTTGAAGTGAGTTTAGAAACATTTAAGGGAATCTCAATCAAATGGCAGAGATCCCCTTTTTCAGCTGTCGCGAATCTTTGAGGCGCGGTGGTGGTGGCTGATGCAAAGTCAACTCAATCAGCCTTGGCATTCTGGCTATCCAGTCTTGCATTGAAGCTGCATTCTTCTATGGTAGACAAGAATGACTTTTTCGCATGAAGACTGCGGAACCTGCACGTCAGCGCCACCCTTGTTTTGGCTGCATTGTCTCGTTGATAAGAGGCGTGGACAAGCTGCAATGACGTTCAAACAACGCATAAGGTTAAGTGAAAAAGGCGTTAATAAATTCTAAAACAAGTTGGATAAAAAATGATGCAAGAATCGTGTTGTTAATAGAAGTTACGTTGAATTTTACAGCCTCTCAAAACACAAATTGCAGGTGAAACAAAACCGCGGGTGATGCCTGTCAAAGCTGCTGTTAGCTTTCTGTTGAATACATTTTTAGGTACAAGTAATTTTCAAGTCCACCTTCACCTTAAAACGAAAGGCAGACCTGCGCTATTTTTTTAATCGCCATTGATGCACAATAGCTGGTGATTTGCAAAACAGCTAATATTAAATCTCATACGTAATACCAACGTGAAATGTCACAAGTTTTTAGCTTTTGAAAAGTCAGAACAAGACTGGAAGGTTGTCTGCAATATCAACTGTCAAATAGCTATTTGCTCCTGAATGTGATGAAGCTTTAGAAAATGCTTTGCAGTAAAGTTCGCCCGTGTGAAGATTCCTTCCCTCTTCGAACATGCAGTTGGTGAACGTAAATTGTCCCATACAACACAACTTTGACATGAAGTGCGCGGGGTCATTACAATAGCTCAATTTAGGTCTTCGCAAAGGAGGCCGTCCCTCAACATATGTCATTGGAGTGCACTGAAAAATTTAATGTCAATTAAAGCTCACCGACAGCAGCTACTCACCGTTTAAGTAGGACAGGCTAAAATCCCAAACAATGCCTCACTTTCTTAGGTGCCAAACATAGTTGCTTTTTTAACTCTCAACTTTGGAGGACGAGACGCATTAGGTCTTTGTTGACACCCTTCCGTTTGACGAGTTTGGCTGCCTTCCTTCTAGTCAGAGTGTTGGGCCACGTTTCGTCTTCGGGGAAGTCTCGAGGCTCTGAGTGCATTCGCCATGTCAGGCCATTCATCACCACTAACCACTGCCTATTAGGATGGGCGTGAAAAATTCATTTATTTTTAGATTCTTTTAACTCTGGAATAATGTTTTAAAATGCCACAATGGTGGCTTTTGTCCAGAACAATTATATATCGAAATGTGGCCCTCCTTCAAACCAGTCACTTTTATGCGAAAAACTATAAATGTTTCACCTCAACTTCAAAAAACCGAATAAAAACTTCAGACAATGTCTAAATGACGAAAACTTTTGGAAGGATGTATTGGACAGTGCTCGCAGTAAATAAAATGAATTATTAAAT